TGATAGTCTTTGTCTTCACGGTATCATCCGCTAGTTTCCCGATGAATCCCACAACCGCTTCCGTAAACACGTTGACATCATCATCGGAGCTGTTTCTGAACATGCACCGTCCTGTAACGTGGCCACCGATTGATCCGTCCAGCGCGCGACCTTCCTCTGAACCGGAACTTCCTGTTTCAGTCTTTGTTTGTATTTTGGGATGAGGAAGATGGCGGCGTGATCAGATATTTTGTGGGTTCAAGCTGCTCTGCATATTTTTGCCCACAAGATGTCACCAAAGACGACTGTGTTGAAAAGCTTTGAGTAATGAACACAAGCTTCAATGCTTCAGAAAGCTTCATTTGGCCATCACTAACACTGGGAAGCCAGAAAACTAGAAACCTGAAAACTAGAGACTAAGGACGAAGATCACAGGGAGCTCGGAGGACAAAAACACAGCACAGTAAGGGTACAACGCAACAACTAACAGAGAAACAAAGGACTTAAATACACAAGCAGGACAATGAGAGGATTGGGAACAGGTGGCAACACAGCTGGGACACAAAAGACCCAATGAGACAAGGGAAGCAAAATCAGACACACTGCACACAGGACAGGGACTATCAAAATAAAAGAGGAAACGCACGACAGGCGCAGAGGCAGGCTCTTGACAATGAATAGGACAAACACGGCGCACAGGGGCAGGAGTAACAAACTGCGACATGAGACACAACTAGGGAGCAAGAAAATAAACATGACAGAATTAAACCTACACTTAACATCAGGGGCACAGGAACAAAACCTAAGAACTAGAAATCACAAAACAGAAAAACTAGAACGCTAGAAATACAAGACAGAAACTAAAACACTAGCAGTCATAAACCATGATGAACTCAAAGCTTATTAAAAACACAGAACACAAAGCACTGGGTCACGGACCCAGGACGGTGAAATAGCTTCAGTGATAAATCTTTGTTTTTACTTGTGAACTATGTAAGCTGAGACCAATGAACTAATGATCACGGTATTCAAAATCAAAGCTGATATTTTCTGAATTTTTTATATGATTTTACTGTAGTTCAGCCACTTCCATTATGAAATAATTAGAACTTAATTCGAATAAAAGTACTCAGAATGACTTGTAATATTTTTGGTGATCCTGTGACCTTCCCTCATCACATCAAAATGCTGACACAGGATTTTGACAGGCTAGGCATCCTCTGCACACGGCCATTAACAACCAGAAGAGTCTGTTCAGTGACAGGTTGCTTCTCCC